TCCTTGAGCGAAAACATTTTAAATAAGTAGAGTTGTTATAACTGTTCTTGCCTTAAAAAGGGCTTTTTAATTTGGGTTTTGTTCATATACTGTAAGACCAATAGTGGTGTAGATAATGTGGATTTTTGTGTATTGCATCCCTCTACAAAAAGCAATACAATGTTTCTGTTGTTTGATGGAATATGGCAAGAAAATGTTTATGATACTCACACATTTTGTTCAGCAGGAGAAATTCCACATAGTAATGCCCGTTTATAATTGTTGATGGGCACTGCAATCATCGAAAGTAAAAGGCCAAGGAAACGCTACAAACAAACTACAAAATAGTCGCATGGATCCCCGTCACCACTCCTAAGCTAAAGGCGGCAAATATCGGTGTGATGACGTTTAGTATTCTCATTTATTTTGATACATAGAAAACAGGTTGTTTCCTGACCGATTTTCTGTCTTAATACAAAACGTCTCTTGAGTCTCTAAATTGTGTTAACGACAGACCTAATTCCAGTCATCTAACCAGAAACCCTCAAAAGGCAACCAATAGGGCTAGTTTAATTAACGGGGAGTTTACTTTAGTTGACTATTTTCAGACTATTTATAGTTTTCATTTGATCAACTTAAAGGTGGGGTTGGTAATTTCGGAGAAACTAGCTCGAGTGGGCTAGAATTTGAAAATACACAACCGGAGAAAATCTGCCCCTTCCTTCAGACTTCCTTACAGAGCCCCTCCTCCAACACACACGAGCGCGCACATGACCAATGAGGGCACGAGAAAAAAAAACTTCACAGACATGTTTTGTATAGGTACATATATGTTTCAAATATAGCATGATAGGTCCACTTTAACTTTTCTCGGGGCTTGCCTTTCTGTCCTTTCTACTTCTAGTATTGCCTATGTATTGTTCTCTTTCATTTCTCTGCTGCTGCCTTTCCTGCCGGGAGCTTTGAACTCATCATTGTAATGCAATGAATCTTCACTGCATGACAAAGAGGGAGAAAGAAAGGAAAGGAGTAAGAGGAAATTAGATGGTGTAGGGAACAGGACTGAATAGGTAGCGAATGCCAATAGACATAGAGAGCAAATAGCTTTTGAGCCGGTGAGACAGAAGGGCAGAAGACAAGATAGACCTCACGACATATGAATAGAGATGACAAGATGTTCTGAAGCTGAAAAGAAAAAAGGATTTAGAGGGTTTGGCTGGGTTTGGTTTGGTCCCTCGTGTAAAGAGGAAGACGAACAGATATGACATATTCTCTCTGAAGAATCTCCTGCCAGCAAGTCTTCAGTATGCAGAGAGAAAGAGGGGAGATATGTTGAGAGAGGTCGAGCTGGAAGAGGAGAAGGACAAGAAGCCATACAGAGAAGAGAAGAATCAGAGGAGATGAGGCAAGATATACTCAGGATAAAGAAGAGAATAAAGAAGGAGATTTAGTTGGATAAGAGAAGGAGGTGGGAAGGGATGTACACGATGAAGAGAAAGAGATGCAAGAAGGAATTGATAAGGGCAGGAATATGTTCAAACAGTGACGGGAGGTTAGGAAGAAGGAAAGAGACTGAATAAAAGTGAGGAAGGTTTAGCAGGATGGGAGGATACAAAGAGGAAGGAAGGTATGAGAGAAGTGGGAACATGAAGATATAAAGAAAATAAATATGAAGAGAAGATTCAAATTTGACTATATTAAAACAATTATACCTGTTTTCTATGCAAGTCGAGGCAAATTGAAAGCAACTGGTGCCTATACAAACGAACACTTACAGTCTATTACATTAGTTTAAGTACATACTAAGATGAACAAAGTGCGTGCCTTGCCTTGTGAACATGCTTCACATTTGAACATGAGATGCTTAATAGACTGATTTCCCTTTTGTCCTTGTGATGCTGCAAATTCCCGACAAGTGTTACATTTGCATATTATTCAGTGTCTCTTCATTTTGATCTTTGAGTCTTAGATATTTTAGGCATCAAGTATCATACAAGTATTGAAGATATCTTAAAATGATCCTCCTTAAATGTGCAGATGCAATGCAGACAAAAGCAGGAAGGATGAGAGCAATCACAAAGATAACAAGTGAAGAGCAGGAAAGATACAGAACACTAAAAGTTAGGGGATGAAAGGATTAAAGACTGAAAGAGACAGATGTTGAGATGCAAGGGAACAGATGAGTGAAGGACCTGAAAAAAGGGAAGGAGGTGTTGAGTACAGTCGTCTTCTGGAATTGGAAGTTGATGGGGGGCGAGTATGAGAAAGAAAAATGGAGTCAAAGGGGAAGATGGATAAAAAAGGGTGAAATAAATAAGTGGAATTTTTTAGGAAAAAAGGCAAAGTGCTAAAGAGCCCGAGGCCAAACTGAAGTATACGGGGGAGGAGTGGAGGGGTGAGGCGGAAATATTTGACTGCATTTCGTTTTTGTGAAGTTTTTATTCAGGGCAGCTGAAGCAGAAAGTGGCAGCAGACACATTCTACACACACTCATAAAATGAATGCCTCATTTATTATCCATCTCAATTGTTCATATAGTAGATATATTTGTACTACTGTGTGTGTGTGTGTGTGTGTGTGTGTGTGTGTGTGTGTGTGTGTGTGTGTGGGTGTGTGTGTGTGGGTGTGTGTGTGTGTGTGTGTGTGTGTGTGTGTGTGTGTGTGTGTGTGGGTGGGTGGGTGTGTGTGTTTGGGTGTGTCTGTGGGGGGTGTGTGTGTGGGGGGTGTGTGTGTGTGGGGGGTGTGTGTGTGCAGTGGCGTTTTTATATGTACAAAAGTGGTGGGGCACAAACAACTTAGATGTCTATATATAAGCTTCTGCAGTGAGGTTCATGGCTGGTGAGGCACTGACTCTGACTCTTCAGGTTTACAAATATTATATTTTGACCTAAATCAAAATATAATATTATTTTCAAAAGGTTTTTTTGTCTGATGCTTCAATTAATTTTAAACAGACAGTTCATCAAAAGGATACCCAAAAAATGTAATTGTATCATTTAAATATTGAATTGTTCTCTCTTAGTAAGATCCCATTTTCAATACAATTGCAGTCTTACCTTGACTTGAAGATGAAGTCCATTTGCCTATCCTTCTGGACAAAAATCTCTATTACTTTTTTGTAAAAGTCCTCCTTATGTTCTTGTAGTTTCAAAAGTCTATCATAAATCTAATCTAATCAATAGATTTATGATTCGAAAATTATAAAAGTAGGGTAGACATGTGGATATTATCCGGCTGAACAAAACGTGCATTTATCTAACAGCTACGTTTCCCACAGACCTTATTTGGAGCTATTTTCTAAAATCCTATGGAGAAATCTCATTGCTTTTTTGTCGAGGGAAGCCATGCGCAGCTTACTTCCGGGTTTTAGGACGCCTCACTGCAGCTCTCTCGTCTCCTCTTCACACACCACACTTTTCGCGGCACACGTACTTACAGCCAATCAGCTCTGAATGATGTGAGATGACGTATGGTGGGGATGGCAGCTCTATGCCCCTATGGTCATTATTTTTTTTGCCACACACATTAAATAGGAAAATATTCTGAGCATGCGCAGTGTAGTTTTTACAGTCACCGTTCACTTAGACAGTGAGAGGGAGGGGCAGGATCGGGTTTTGTCCCAAATGGCTCTAAACAGCTCAATAGGCACACACTGTAGACACTAATTAGAAGAACACAGACTAAAACAGCAATGTACAGACAAATAAGATGATTAAACATGATCTTAAAATATATTTTATATATTTTTTAATGTATTGTTTGCATTTTGTTGTAATTATTTGTAATACTTTCTGCTGACACTAGGTGGGGCTGTGCCCCACCTGCCCCTAATGACCAGTCACCACTGTGTGTGTGTGTGTTTAAATAAAAATCACGGGATCCCTCAGGGCAACGCAGACTATGGACCATCAGACCCTTGAACACATAAAAGAGACAACCAAACAAAGTGGAAACACAAACCGCAGGGTTACATCACACTGCTGCTGAGCCACTACCCAACCACGACCAACTCACTTCAGGCGAAAGGACACTTCAAGACAAAAGTCTGTCCAAAAAATCAACATATCACGGGATATCTTTTACAAATGTATTGTCAACACTCCTGGTCGCCACAGGATGAACCATTTTGACATAAGCAATGATCACATAACCTTTCCTCTTGTTTAGTGCCACCCTCAAAAAACAAAATGTTAAAGCCATTATAGATCACTGGAAATCCTCTTTCTCTTTACACCTTGAGTTAGAATAGATTTTAATGTTGACTCTTGGTAATGTTTGACCAAATGCATGATTTAAGAAGAGTCCCATGTTACTTTAGTTGGCTAGTTTTGCGAAATACTTGTGATCATTTGTTTAGTGATTTTTATAACTTGGGCAATAATGTTTAAAAGTATCATTGCATTACTTTCTGGAGAGTTACGGTCTTGTGTGAACTTGTGCCACTGAAGTCACTTCAGGCAGTATCCTTTACTTATCTTATTTGAATATTATAAAATACAATTCAGAACTAAAAATAAAAGCCCAGTCACAATGTCTAATGAGATGCACTGATAGATCTACATCAGTAGTCATCTTTCATGGTAACAATGTCCTCACTCTCCTTCAAGGTGATCTAGATAAAAAACATCAATTTGATCAGCATCACCTCATAAAGACACTCTGTGCATTATAATGGCACCAAGCACAGACCCACAGTGCCTCTGTTATGCAGACTGGACGTGGCTGCAGACGCTTTAATAAGGTGTTACATGAAATGTGGGAATTTGAGGAGGCGTGTGGCGCAGTGGATAGAGCCTTGGTGTTGGGATCAGGGAGCACAGGTTCAAACCCCACTGCAGTCATCATGTCATTGGGCAAGACACTTTGCTCCTGTGGGGATTGTCCACAGTATTGAGTATGTAAGTCGCTTTGGATAAAAGCGTCTAACAAGTAACATGTGTTTGTGACCTTCAGTAAGCTGCCTGTTACAAGCTTTCTCATTTGACTGAACTTTTGTGTTTCTGTGCTTTTTCTTTCCACAGATACACAAAGATGAAGACAGCTACCAACATCTACATCTTTAACCTGGCTCTGGCTGACTCTTTGTTCCTGGCGACTTTACCTTTCCAGGTACTACCTATTCCACCTTTTCCTTAAACTACTCTTTTTGCCCACTCTTAAGATTAACTTAAATTAAAACAAAACTATAAATGAATGTTTAGTTGGTAACAGATACTATACAGTATAAGATTGTAGGCGGCAGTAATAGGCGCTTGGCTTGGGTACCGAAGTATTGCCGGTTCAAGCCCTGATTGGACCAAAAATAGTGTTGACTGGTAGCTGTAGAGGTGCCAGTTTGCCTCCTGGAAATTGCCGGTTGTCCCTTTTGCTCTGCCACCTCTTCTGTTGTGCATGTTTATAGGTCTAAGTTGTGTAATTTGGGCCTATGTGTGTAATTATAAAATGACACCAGAGTGAAAAGTGGAATTTCCCCTAGGGTATTAATAAAGGTGATCTTTGAAAATGTTGGTCTTAGAAATATGATGTGTAAACTTCCAGATGTGGTACACTCATTTGTTTACCGATCATACCGTATCAGGCATTACTCTGCCTTAAAACCCAAAGGGGCTGTTGTGTTTAAAGATAGAAAGTTCAAATGAATGTCAACAAACACCATCACAGCCTAACCATTAATTAAGTTGTACAATTAGCATTCTGCTCATGTGTTATGCTGCTGCTGGTTCAATTATTTTTGACAAGATTACAAGTGGCTTTGGTAATGGCATCTTTTTCAAACCCTTGTGTCTTTTTCCTTCAGCATGGCTTCCTAGTAACTCTATGTGATATCACTAAAAGGTACCCTTGTTCTGGTACCACAATGGGGTCAGGATTTATTGATGAATTAGGGAACAAGATTATAAACAATGCCGATAAACATTAAAACATGATTGAATTCTTAAAAAGGCAGCATTAACTAGTGAGTGATTGTACTGGATTTTACAAAAATGTAGCTTATATTGTGTCCACCCCTGGTTATACTCAGACATGAACTCTGACTGATATATTACTTAAAAATAAATACAATTTCGATTCTGCTGTTTCGCCAGCATCAGGGTTTTTATATGTGTATTCCACTTCATAGATAATTAAGTGTCAAAAGTGATATAACAGAGGAGATTGTATTATCTGTTCTGCTTGCAGCTGTATTTATATGCTCAAACTTTGATTTCTGGATGTTTGTTTTAGGGCACAGACGTGTTCCTGGGCTTCTGGCCGTTTGGGAACGCTCTGTGCAAAGTGGTGGTATCTATCGACTACTACAACATGTTCACCAGCACCTTCACCCTGACGGTGATGAGTATGGACAGATATGTGGCTGTCTGCCACCCTGTCAAGGCGCTGGACATGAGGACTCCTCACAAGGCCAAGGTAAAACTGTTTCATTTCAAAGTGAGATATTTACCTCTTTAAATCCTTCACACCTTCTGTATTGTCCCTGCAATGGCCGATATCAGATCAGACACTTCAGCCCATGAATCCTTAAAAAAGGCTTTGTGTGTGCTGTCATGTTGGGAAACTCAAAAGAAATAAAGATAAACTGATACAGGCATCATTTTCAAATGTGATATAATATTGCATATTTGTATACTAAACAAGTGGATGTGGCTGCAGAGGTTTGAAAACTAGAAATCATTTTAAAATTGCGATGGAATGATAATTGAAATGAAAAACTCAGATGTGTATGGTAATGTCAAAGCCAAGCTGCCTGTTTAAAAAAAAGTATGTGCTTTTGCAGTCTTTACATTTAGTCCTTACCAAAAAGCCGAGAGTAAATAAAGCAAGAGGTTTAATAATCATATAACTCAGATTATCTAATGCATATACTGCACAGCTGTTGATGTGTCTGCAGCTGTGCAGTAACTGTGGTAAATACGAAATGCAGCTCGTATTGCAGTGTGTTACATAATGTTTGTGGCCTGTTTATATATTTATATACAGGCATGAACTTTAATTCCTGTGGTAACCTCTAGATATACGGGTGTAAGAAAAGAAAAAAGTGTAATCCATTAGACCAATTTCTCCAACCGACGTTGACGAGTAAACCTTTTGTCCTGTAATGACACCCTGAGAAACAGACCTTTTCAAGTGCTGATAAGAAATGTCAAAATGAAGAATCACTGATTCAAACAGAAGATGATTTTCAGGATCCTGACAGCTCGTCTGCACAATCCTTCTCATCAGAGTCATTGATGATAACGAGATAACACCACTTCACTTCGAACCAAATTGATTTTACACATCAAAGTCTGTTAGGGATTACAACTGCACATTTGAACAAAGTTTAAAGTCATGTTGTGACTTCAAACTTAGTGCAATGCTAACTAATTGCTTCAAGTCATGTCACTTGCTACAGTATGATATAATCATTGCACACCCTACAGTAATGGATTCTAGGACTCCAGGCTTTTATTGTAATGTGTACATAGCTGCAGTGTAGTTATGTTGATACAAATCTTAGGTCACATGCTCCTCCAACAGTGCAACACAATACAACTGATAAAATTGTGCAAGTAAATACAATAACATTGCAGTTGGTGTGAATGGTGGGTAATGTGTGGCTCGTTTTTCTTTTTGTTCAGTCCAACAATGTTATAGATGCTTGATTGATTTAGTGATCGAGTATTGTGGTGTTCCTTTTGAGCAAAGGTATAAATTGTTCAAGTTCTAGATTGTTCTGCTAGTCCTGATATGCATTTGAACAGTGATGTCATTGCTCAACAAGGTAAGATAATTGAAACTACTACTTGTCAAATGGTAATGCCTCACGTAAACACAGGTATTGTTATTGTAAGTAGTGACTTTTACTGTGGAATACTGGGCATACAAGGGGACAGACTCGCTGCCCTCAGAGTGCTTGTTATTAGCCCTTCTTATTCTTACACATTCAAATAGACGTTTTAAGCTTGAAGATTAAAGGGTTGAATGATACGTTTAACTTTTTATTTTCTGTATGAGTAATTGGAAATCTATAATTGACCATCATGTTATCATGTCTTTAGGTGGTGAATATCTGTGTGTGGGTGTTGGCTTCAGCCTTTGGTGTTCCAGCCATGTTCCTGGGAAATGTTGAGGTGGAAGAGCATGGCAGTAAGTAATTGACACACACACACACACACACACACACACACACACACACACACACACACACACACACACACACACACACTGCTTTTCGGCACCTGCTTTTTATGTCCCCAAAGAGTCAGAGGTCCCCATGACGTGATTGTGTAAACAGACTGATGTCCGCAAATAGTGATGAAAACAAACTTCAATAAACACACACACACACACGTGCTTGTAATAACCTCTGCATGCACACATTCTTGCACCTTCACCACAAATACATTTGCAACGAGCTGTCCCAGTTTTTATCGCTGCTCTCGCACAGCGACTGACTAATAGCTTCAGCACACATCATCGCGTGATGCCTCTTCTTCGCTTTGTTTCCTATCAAACCAATACAGAGCTTTGACAGCCGGCTGCCTGCGACATTATACAATACTCCACATGGTGCTCCGTGTTATGAACTTTCACACAGCAGAAATAGAAAAGAACATTCAGCTCGTGATCCATTTCTTTTTTTGCAGTTCAATCAGCAGAGGTGATAAAAAAACAACACTGTGTTGTGATTATCAAAAGCTAAATGACTTTCAGTAAGTACAAAGGAAGATGTGTTACAGCCTGTCGCACAAACTCCACATGAATGAATGTGGCATAAACACATATATGAATTGCGAGTGCCGGCATTTACATAAAATAAATATGCATGACTGAGATCAACTGAATCAGGAAAACACATGTAAATTCAATTAGCAGAAGCTCATAATTAAAGCATATTTTCAATCATTATTTTACATTGTATAACTTACACTTGTCATTCGATTGAAAAAGACTTAAAGGTGGGGTAGGTCCAGGGCCGCCCCTGGCCAAGTTGGGGCCCCAAGCTACATTGTGAGATGAGGCCCCCCCTAACCGACAGGAGTGAAAACATTTTTTTTTGGAAACAAAGTAGGCTACTTTGCAAATATAATTCCTGTTTATTATTATTATCAACACAGTTACTTTTTTATACAGTGAGGTAAATGGTAAATGTGCATGTATGTCGTTCAGTATGCGTTTACAGGTACGTCTGCATTTCCTGCCAAATACTAGCCTCAAAAAGATTACAATATAATTAATGCAAATAAACTACTTCTACTAATAATAATAATCATAATCAATTCAATAATATAAATACTATATTATTTTATTATAACATAGTTGTAATATAGTCAAGACAAAACATTCTTACTATGCTCAAAAACTGATATTTCTTAAATCTGTATTCAAACGTAGTTCCCTCTGTCAGCAATGCATCAACAACTAGACACACATTTCTATCAGTGTTTCTCTGTGTTGTGGTTGACATGATGATGATGACTGTTAGGAGTTAAGGGGAGAGGCTGAGCGTCACCATGAAATGTGCAAATTGCCATAAAAATGAATAAAAGGGGAAAAAATGCTCCATGTTTTTTAAGCTGTAAACTTTAACTGTTATGTAAGCCAACTAGACAGACAGTGTATCACTCTTCCTCCTGTACATTAGCAGATAAAAGGCATCACATACTTGAATGAATGGTAAATAAAGAATGCTGGAAATAACTGCATCTCCATTAGCCTGTATGCTAAGCAGAGACTGCCTTCTTCATGTCGTGAATTGCAGCTGATGTTTTAATATGGCAATTTGACTTATACAACATTCGCAAGTTGTACATTTGACTCAAACAATAACCCACCTTCGAGTGATGCTCTAGTTTCTTCATGTTTTGGTTTTTTTCCCCTCTTGCTTGCTCCGGACTGAAACTGTCTTTTCACCGATATCTCTTCACCTGCACTAGTGGCCGTATCAAAGCCGTGATTGGTCAGATGTCGATTCATTGCAACGGTGTCGGGTTACAGACGTGCTCCCCTTGTCACCTCGGAGCGTCCACACAGCAGCGTGCGTTGACGCTTGGAGGTGGGCGTATCTGAAGCTTGGGGATTTTTTGCGAGCAACGCGACCAACAACCAATCACATGAATCTCCTGCCCCCGACATACAAAGCAATAGCAATGTTAAAACGAAGTAAACTGGATATAAAATCCCCAAACAGGCGAAAACCTACCAGTTTCACCCACTGTCTCTGCCACCTCCCTCCATGCCTCGCTCCTCCGGTTTGTATCCCGGTAGATCAACAGAGACTGATCATACAGCACCGGGTGATTCACTACCGCTATAATGAATTTTCCCTCCATTTTTTTGAATATGAGGAAATGACCTGCGAAGTCTCTCCCAGCATACACGCGGTTTGATTGGCTAGTGCTTGTACTGGCAGATTTGCATAAACGGGATTTCATTGGCTGACGCCTCCGTCGAGGCGTCAAAAGTTGAACATTGCTCAACTTTTGACGCCAGCTACGCCAGCAACGCTCCACGTCGCTTCCCAAAATGCAGTTCGGCTAAAAGTGACGTCACCCCATTCAAAGTGAATGGGCAGAAGCGTTGGAAGCTTCAATGCACGCCGCTGTGTGGACGGGCCGCTCTCGCGGGGGGGCGGAGAACTGCGCACAGCAGCTGAGGCCCTCTGGGTGGGGCCCTCTGGGCAAGGCGGGGCCCCATGCAGCCTGCGTGATTGGCCTGTAGGGAGGGGCGGCCCTGGGTAGGTCATTTCGGAGAAACCAGATCGAGTGCGCTAGAATTTGAAAATACACAGCCGGAAAAAATCTGCCACTTCCTTACAGAGCCCCTCCTCCAACACACACAAGCGCGCACATGACCAATGAGGGCACGAGATAAGTTTGTGCACAGGTTGAAGGCTGACAGGCAGGTAGGCCATCCAGTTATTTTAGCCGGACCGGCTCAAATGATTGGTCGTGCTTTTTACAGCACTACGGCTTCCACAGATGACATTTTGTAATGGATTTTTTGTCAAAGCACTTAAGATATTCATTGCTATCGGGACGTTGAGAGCATTCCATGGAATATAACACAAAGTGTATCTCGAGCCGGTTTCTCAAACGTACCTACCCCACCTTTAACAAAACAAACATTTACTATGACCATAACAAATAATAAAATAAATGCTTACGTTTCTGTTCAGACGTCAAACTTACCAAACACAACCTCATTGCATTGGTTCTGCACTTAAAGAGAATGGGATCCAAAAAAAGTTTGAAGTAATATATATAATTAATTATTCCCTTAAAATAATTTCCTTTAATGTGCCTTTATTGTTGTTTTGGTTCTGTATATTGGCTTGTTGTTCAAAAAGGAGCTAGTACCACCTCAATTTAATCAACAGTCTCCAGAAGTTGCATAAATACATCTGGCGGGGCTTCCTTGTAAGCAGTAGCGTGGCGTGGGGAAAAATGTAGGGGAAGCCCATTTTTTGGGTCGGGGGGCGGTCAATAACGTAACCAGATGAATGATTACAGCGCCCGGTATCATTTTACACACATTTGTATCACACAGATGCAGGACTTGCACACGCCTGTTATCTAACCGACAGGTCCGCACGCACTCTCCAGCTGAAACTCTCTTCTTATTAATTTAAGCATTTTACTTATTAATGTAGGCAGACAATCACACAATCTATGTGATTTTTGGATTTACCGTGCCTCTCAATTGCCCGTGACAGGTTGGCAAGGTCGATGAATCCTGAAGTTGCCCAAGGATTGTTCAGGGAGCACGAATCCTTGTCAAAAAGAAGACATGGCCAGCAAAATAGACGCTGAAGTTTAGCGCTTCCAGTTAGCCACTTCGTGCGGACATATTTGTCCTCATTGAACGTCCGATTCTCTCCCTTTTTCCTCTGTGTACACACAGCTGGAGTGCGGGCATTGGCCTGTCATCTGATTTAATTTTCAGTTGCTGCTGTAGCGGAAGTTTAGTAAAGTTATGTTTGATTAAGTACGCCAAATCTCCACCCTCCATAATGCTTCATTTGCTTGATAATTTCTAACGGCGGTGATGACAGTTACAGTATTAAAACTGATGTTGATGTGATTTGATTGGATGGCAGTGTCCAATCAAATCGCCAGCCGCCAGCCGCCCCTGAAGGGAAGCTAGAGGCGGCTGGCTTCCCTTGGCATGGCCCTGACCAATCACAGGTTGGCAGGGGCATCACGTGGGCCTCATCTGATTGGTCAATCCCTCCATTTTTTTTCACCAAAGGAAGCCAGATTCGGCTGGCCTCCTCTCGCAACAGAGAGTGCAATCTACTGTTTCACCATAACATCTAGAGGGGCGCTGTTTCACTCTTTGTAAAGTACTCAATGAGAATGGGGGAGAGCCGGCCGGCAGCAACACACAGCAAAGGAGAATTATCGAAACAAAACAAAGTGTTTTTATTTATTTATTTAAATTATAACTACAATCCGAAAAAACAGGGGAAGCCTGGCTTCCCTTGGCCTCCGGGAGAAAACGCCACTGCTTGTAAGATGCACAGCTGAATTCCATTTCCTGTAGAGATCTCAGTCCATCAGGTGCTCACCCTCTCCCTGCAGGTTAACCTCTTGTGTGTAGCCCATCTCCTACTACATGCGTGATTTGATTAAACCAAGGTTAATTTAATCTTCATTTCATCTCACTATTTTATTAAAAGTTTGCATGTGTGAGACAGTTTATCTTGTGTTTGGAATAACTGCTCTTCCAGCAAATTGCAATGCATGACTTCAGTTGTCATCATCATTCCTGGTTGCAATTTTCCATTAGTGTGTGAAGCCTGTATGAAAACTGCATCATTATATTTCTCTCTATGGCAGGCTGGTTCATCTTCTTGTCACTTAGGTTTGTTAAGGGGTGAGGAACACAACCTCAAAAGTGGAATAAGAGCACGAACATGTGGGAAGAATGCCAACTGAGTTTAAAGGAGGGTTGGGGATTAGGGATAGGGTTATTACAAGTATTTACTAAAAAGCTCTTTACTACATGCAGCTTCTTACATTGTTCTTATGGTTTTGTAAGTTTCACTGTTACAACAACAATGTTCTAAACATTTTTTAAATGCTTCTCAAAATGAGACATGTCTGAATTAATTGCTTTTAGATAAGCGTATAAGCTTCAACAGC